GAGCCAACAGAGGTACCACAGACATGGTATTTGTTCTCAGACAACTGCAAGAGAAGTGCAGGGAACAGAACAAAGGACTCTCTGTTACCTCTGTTGATCTCACCAAGGCTTTCGATACTGTGAGTAGAAAAGGTCTGTGGCAGATTCTGGAACGTTTATGATGTCCTCCCAAGTTCCTTAAAATTATCATCTTCACGAGGACCAGTGTGGTCAAGTCAGATATGGCAATGCACTTTGTGAGCCCTTTCCAATAGCCAATGGTGTGAAGCAAGGCTGCGTTCTTGCACCAACTTTATTCACAATCTTCTTCAGCATGATGCTCCAAAGGGCCACAGCAGACCTCGATGATGAAAACGGTGTCTACATTCGATATCGTACCAATGGGAGCCTATGCAACCTAAGGTGACTGAAGGCCCACACTAAGACCTAAAATTATCTTGTCTGTGAGCTGCTTTACGCTGATGATGCTGCTCTCATCGCCCTCACAGAAGCAGCTCTGCAGCATTTAACATCCTGCTTTGCAGAGGCTGCTGAGCTCTTTGGACTGGAAGTCAGCTTGAAGAAAACAGAAGTTTTATATCAGCCTGCACCTCAGGAAGTCTCCCATCATCCCCATATCACCACTGGTGAAACAGAGCTCAAATCAGTCCAGCAGTGCAATTACCTGGGAAGCATCATCTTCTCAGACAGTAAGATTGATGCAGAAATAGACAACAGGTTAGCAAAGGCATACAGAGCTTTCCGTAAACTCCATAAAAGAGTGTGGCAAAACAAACACCTGAAGAAAAGTACAAAGATCAGTGTTTACAGAACCATTGTACTGTCTGGTCTTTTATATGGATCTGAATCATGGGTCATTTACCGGCACCACTTGCGTCTCTTAGAACACTTTCATCAGCGCTGCCTCCGTACAATCCTAAACATCCACTGGACTGACTATGTGACCAACACGTCTGTCCTTGAACAGGCAGCAGTCACGAGCATTGAGGCCATGCTGCTGAGAACACAGCTGCGCTGGGCAGGGCACGTCTCCAGGATGCAGGACTACCGCCTCCCTGAGATCGTGCTCTATGGGGAACTTGCCACTGGCTGCTGCAAGAGAGGAGCCCCGAAGAGGAGATCCAAGGACTGCCTGAAACAATCCCTCAGCCTTGGCCATGTTGATCACCACCAATGGTCTACCCTGGCCTCCAGTCGGGAGCCCTGGAGACACACCATCTATAACGCTGCTGCTGCTTTTGAGAACACACGCAGGATCACTCTCGAGGAGAAAAGACAACGCAGAAAGAATCGCGTCTCGTCGATATCACCTGGGGAGTCTTTCTGCTGTGCCTTCTGCAACCAGACTTGTCTATCTCACGTTGGCCTTTTTAGCCATCAGTGTACTTGTAGCAAGCTTGGGTAGAGCCCTTCTCAAATCTTCGCGAAGCCTAGCCATGATGATGACAATGTTCACATGACACTTTTCATTTCACATTCCTACAAAGTTTTTCTTGGTTCTTGAATATAGGTAATTGTGGACAGTGTTACTTGGTTCACTTATTTGCCTCTCAGACATTTTTGTCTTCCAAGGACAATACAACGCCAATGTTGCTCTAATTTTGCAAGTCTCATTCCTGCTGTCACCACAGTGTACTCCTCCATCATAAGCGTAATCACTACATGTAATACGGAGTTCAGAATGAATGTAGAATCCATATTACCAGAATTATCAACATGTTAGGAGCCCATAGGTAGGGCCTCGACAGTTTGTACCATTTCTCAAGGTTTCATGATCAAAGATCATTGTTTCATTTGCAGCAGTAGGATTTGTGCCATATGGATCATGCTGTATTACCAAAACTGCATAATAGTACATGAAAAATAAGAAATTTTTCTGTGCTGACAGTGAAAGGATGGTGACCAGGTGCAGCGTGTTGTTTAACAACTTGAAATGCTTGTCAGGATTTGTCATATTGCTCTTTATGTCCAGAGACATCTTGGATTGGTCATATTGATAGTTTGTAATTGTCAGTTTATTACTTATTTATAATATTATATCCCACATGGAACTATAAGCCGTATGAGAATATAAACTAAAACAATACAACAAACCCTCTCATTGCTGCTTTCTATTCTAGCTTGCTTACTTCTAAAAAATCCTCAGTAAAAGTAATTTTTCTTGAGAGAGTTGATACTTATATTCTACTTCCACTGAGGGCAATTTTATGGTATTTTGGTTAATACTTCTGCCAAATCTCACTACATCGCCTCCTAGTAATGTGTAGCTATGGTCTTCCTCTTGCATGGACAATTTACTATACCGTGTATGTATCCTCTCTGTTGCTACTCTTTGAGGATTACTTCACAAAGTGAATTTTCAGCAGTTAAATCACCCAATACTCAGTTCCGTTTATGAGTTCATTATGCCTGTCCAATTTTTCATGCAACATTTTATTGACTGTGTCAGTTTATGTTGTGCTTCCAGATCTTTTATTTTTGTTTCCAGAGCACTATATTCATCAAGGCTCTGTTTTTTTGTCACCATAATAAGGGTTATAATTCATTCCTTAGGACCTTCTACTAGGTTCACAGAAAACTATTATTTCCAAATTTTCAAAGAGCCTTTTTTTGCTACTTTAATTTGAAGTGGATTTTTCCTAATAATGAGTTATTTAAATCTCACTTGGAAGACAATATTAACACCAAGAGAACTGGAGCATGACTTGAATGACAAGATGGAGGGCAGAAGGATCAGGCAGTTCAAAACCAATCTGATAGCAAACATACGATAAAGGGGCTGGAGAAGCACAGTTCATCTATTAAAGTCCTTCATGTTAAATCTTACAAAATTATAATGAGCTTTTATGGTGAGATCTGTCAGAATCTCAAGGTGATCCTTAGCTTTGCTTTCATTCCTCGTCATATTTCTTGTACTTCTGTTACTGCTCCCTTCCTTTCTCCCTTTTTTTCTTTCACTTATCTTTTGTGTCCCAGATGGAATAGCCTACCTTGCTTCCCCAAAATCCTTTTGGCTGCCAAGTTCTCACATCTTTTTAAATTCTTTCCTAAAACCTACTTCAACAGGGAATTTTCACTCTTTATCCAAGCCAGATGCTTTCCTTTCTCTGAATATTTTCTCCATATATTCTCTTGTCTGTCTTAAGACCTGGATATCTAGTAGTCAAGGATTATAATTAATTTTCTTTCTTGAGATAGAATGAGAATTCCTTACAACTTCACTATTTTGGCTGAAATATAGCCTAAGGGTCTCTTTATCCCTCTGTTGCTATTCAAAAGCTTCCCCTCTTTAAAAAAAAAATACTGTGTCAGGGCAGGGGACGGGGCAGGGATCACCTCACCGATGGTAAGACAATGACTTTAAGGACTCCAAGTTTCTAGGAATTGCTTCTGTATATAGTATAAAATTCCTTGAAACAGACAATTTTCCAATAAGACTGCAATATCTTCTCCTTCATCCTACTTTCATGAAAATTAAAGTTGTATCTTCAATAGTGTTAAAGGGATTTTCACTAGAAAAAAAATTGCCCCACTTAAATCTGTAGGAATTTTTCTCTACATTATTTACCTAGTCAACCACTGCCTTCAAGAACTATATGAAAAAATGTAATTGTTTCAATCCAAACATAGTAGTAACTGCTACTGCTATTAGTAGTCCATTTTCAGGGACTTTGAAAGGCTGTGGAACAAATTCATTTCTCTTATTAAAATTCTTTCTCTGTGAAATACCGACTACAACTTTACTAACACTTCAAGTAATATTCATAAAAAGGTCAACTAATACTCTTATGGTTAGTCCCAGTAAATTTCAGTGGTACTGTTTTAGCATGTAGCTGGAGTAATATAATAATGATTAAAGCCCAGAAAGAAAGGGCCTCCTTAATTACCTGTGTAATACTTGCAGAGTTTAAGTCTTCATTTATTACTGTCCAGATCACAAGTCACTATAACCATGTGCAGATGTAATCCAAAGAAAGACATATAGCAGATATTTCCCTATCAGATGGAGGCTTTAATACTATGAACATAGTTACAAAGACACTTAATTTTGAAAGGACAATTCTTGAACTCACAGAGATATTGTGTTATTACTAATAGTGTGTGCATTGTGGAGAGAAATCCCCTCCTGATCTCGACTCTGAGTCAATAAACTGGCAGCTGCGGAACAAGTGGGACCATATTCTGATTTTTTTTCTGGTTTGGTCACTGTCATGCACTGCAAACTAATGTGCTGTTTTAAGGGATGCCAAAGGATGTATCTCTTTACACTGGCATCTCTTGTGAACAGGTTCAGTGTGTCATCAGATTGAACCAAATCTCAAGGCATTTGAAAAAATGGGAACTTAAAAGTGCCTACTAGATGTTACATTTTGATCATACTGAAACATCAAAATTGAAAAACAAGACCATTGCAAGCTTTCTTTTACCTGCCAAGACTGTCAAAGAGAAAGTAAACCATATCTTTACAATGTTGCTGAAAACACCATTAAAATAGTTTAGACATTCTAAACAGAATGTATATATGCATGCAAAGGTTGAGTTGGTCCTTCTTCTATACCCCTCTGTTATGCTGGGTTTTCCCTTTCCTTGTATTATATTTCAATCATTTTTTACTTGGGCTTGCAGTTGCAGGCAGCATAACTAGGACAGGATTTGCAGTCCTGTGTAGCCAAAGGATGCTGTGAAGACAAGAGAACCAACCACCCACACAGAGCCCATTCAGAGGGGAGTGGCTTCAGACTAGCCGTAGTATGCTCTTAAGAGATGAATGGTTGTTAGGGATTGGATCATACCAGACACAGGCCAAGTGTGTGCCTTCTAGCTTAGTGTTCCATGTGTTCATATTCTTCCAATTATAATACTGACAAAATATTAGGGACTTCAGTCTCCACATAGCAGATATAATTCTGATGAGCTGAACACACCAGTGGTGCCTCTGTGCTACACAGAGCCAAAGGGTAAACTGGTATAGTAGAAAAAACCAATGAAAGGAGAAGTAGTAGGTTTTGTAGGGGAATTTTAATATTTTTTTTAACATTATACAGGTTACATTTGTGCAGCATGATGAACAAATTTAATAGTCTAAGAAATATATCTGCAGAAAGACACAGAAAAGTATCTGTCTGCAAACTACTCATAAGTGCTTTTGTTAAGGCCACAAAGAACAGAAAATGTTGCAAAGAAAGCTTGCCATCTAAAATTTAGAAGACCACAAAAATTCAAACTGTACCTGTAGAATATATCAGAAAAGGAAAATTTTCATAGCACTACGGAGAGCCTCAACTGAAAATAGGAGTAGATCTTTCTGAATATGAATTTTTAAAATTAGTTAGCTATGTAGCAGGCATTAAAGTTTCCTTATCACAATTACCAAATAAAATGTTTCTACATTATTCCATATATTGTTAATGCAAGCAAGTACCTCTTACACAATCAGAAAGCAAAAAGGTTAATGAATCATTTGGACAATAAAACATTTAAGAATTCAGATAGTCTTTTCAGATTCATTTGAAGCTGTTAGATTCCACATCTCAAGAAGCATTACGAGTTCTTTTGTGGGATTTTGATTGTGACAGTCTTAACTTCTGTGTATTCATGGAGTCCATATTCTCCCCTAGATAAAAGAGAACCAAGAGCAATATTTATGCTAATGCTTTTTATATGAGTTTTGTTCTGGATGGGATTTTCAGTGATGTTGTGCAATTGGCCATTTATATAACAAGTACACTGGACATATTTGGAAGACAGTTGTGCTGCTAGACTGTTGCTGAAAACCTTTTGAAAGGCTACAGCAGCAGTTTCCTGAGAAAAGTTGGAGAGACAGCAATATTACATCTGTGCAAAAGAATGGCATTTAATTTAGAGTATCTCCAAATTGGATTTCTGTGCAGCAAATCAGGAACATGTTAGATCTTCACAAGCACGCTCAACAAGTTATTTGCAAAGGTCATAAAGGTTTTCTTCTGATGCCAAGAATTTTCTCCGACTTTAAAGAATAGACACTTCATCTCAAGTAAATAGGGGATGTAATTAATCCATGATGAAAACTCTCAGACAATGAAAAAAACTTCAATATTTGACATGTTACTAGCAGGATTCAACTTTACTTTTTCAATGGTGAGTTGAAGCTTGTTTGTGTGCCTAGATATTTGACTTCTGACACAGACAAACTGTTTAGACATGACTAATTGCTTTACAGAACAAGTGTAATGTTCCACCGCTCTCACTGCCATGTTACTAGATAGATATATAAGGAAAACAGAAACCTCTGGTCAGGACCCTTTTACTGGGGGAATATGTTTACTGATTCTCTTCATTTTTGAAGAGGCATTCTGTTAGTATGTGACATTCAGTAGTTTAATTCATAATGGTATTATCATTCCAAGAATTATACAGGGAATTTATTTCTGCGGTTCAAGGAAGTCAGTGGCTTGACATTATGACTTGTTAATTATTTAAGTGCGGCTGTTTGACACATATTTCTGCATCTCCAAAAATTGATTGCTGTTTATTTATTATTTTTTTTCCCAAACAGACATCTATCTGGTGATCTATCCTTGTCCTTTAGCAGGAATATTTTTACTGGTCTGATAATTGTGACTTCGAACAAAAAAACTTCATCAGCACAACAGCTTAACTCCTTCCAGATGCACTGTTATAGAAAATATTTTTTATAGTTTCTTATTGGTTTCCTGTTATTTCCAGCAAATAAATTAAAAAATATTTCTGTTAAAGACTAATTCAGAATTGATAACAGCCAATTTTTTTCTACCCACTAAATGCAAAACATTTGCATAATTTGTATTTGATATACTATTTGATAATAATGGTCTAAATTATTGGGTTTTTCCATTTTGCAGTTTTCTAAAGCTCTCAGCATTGACTTGAGTCCATTTCCTTTGAAGCTAGTTGGAGCTTTGCCATGAGGAGCAGATTGTGTCCAGTGATAAGTAAGTATGAAAATACTAGTTTTTATCTCCTAAAAAAATACGTAAGAAGAAGCTCTGAAATACCTCACCAACATGTATATTTTTTAATTGCTTCTATGATTCATTAAATTTTTTATACATCGGTCTTAATAAAAAGGAAAGCTTACAAGTATTTATTTGTAGTTATTGCTTTAAAAATAATTTGTTGTTCCTATATGTGTGACATTTTTAACAAATGACAATTAAAGGTAAGACAGGACATGATTCAAGTGGAAACTGGAATAAAACTTTGAAGTTTGAAAAAATTTGTTTATTTATAATTTTTGTATAATACTCCACTTCTAGTTTGGGAAAAAAACAAAGGTCCAAAGACTACAGAGGACTGTTTTCATCATAACTTTTGACCTGGCATGTACAGCTGGCATGTACTGTAAAAACACTGTTGTCACAAGACTTTAACTGCTAACTCTTTTTTAAATGTAGTATTTTGAAAAGTCTCTTCTTTTCCAAAACCTAACATTTGAAGGGGATATCACAAACTACACAAATATATATCTTCAAAAATGACACTTTTTCTATACATTCAAAAACTGTAAATCGAAACCAAAATGGTCAATTTAGTTTATCAGTAGCTTGCAAGCTTCTAAAACCAGTAATTTTGAAAAAGAATGTATCCTAGCAATTTTCTTATTTGTAGAGGAATTGTTTGGTTGACATTGCCTTTCAAAACATGAAGCCTCTAAACACTAGCTTAATGGGACAATATTTGAAACTGGACATCAAATTTATGCATATTTAAAGTTGGGGTTTGGAATTTCATTTTGCAGTTCCTGTGAATCCACATTTTTAAAAGTATTTACTTACATTTCTCGTCCATTTCCTGACATCTTAAAACCTCCAAAAGGACACTGAGCAGATACTGCACTATAACAATTAACCCTGAAAAAACAGAAATATTACTCTTGATAGTGTGAAGAAACCTTTTTCACTTCTGAAAAATCAGTGTTTTTCTGTCAACTGTAAGAAACCTATGGTGATAATCACAAACTAGAATTAAGTAATATATTTGCAAAAATAAGTGTAGTTTAAGGTTCAGAGAAATGAAGCATTAAAACCAGATACAGTTATAATCAGGGTAATACTCATGAAGGGTCTTCAAGCAGAGTGACCATCATACCTTTCTCTGATAGTCTCAATAAAACTCCTAACTCATACATCAGCTCTCAAACAAAAGACTAGCCACAGCTAAGTCTTCTGCAGGTCCACTTCTTATTGATAAAGTCAGGATAGCTTCAGTATATGTTTAGGAAGTTTTGTTTGATTCTACTCAGTTAAACCATATTCTGTATTGTAGTTGAGAACAAAGATACAATGAATAAGAAAGGAATTTCACAGGAGAATTTGTAAGCATGAAGAATTTTGGCATAATGTGCATCCTGCTTCCTGGCTGAGAAGCTCTTTTTGTCTTACAACCTTGTCAAATCAAATATTCTCTACTTTCATATTTTATAATCTCTTCTCCTACCAGTCTGCTGGTTTCAACAAAAGAGATTCTGTTCATAGTTAAGGGTTCCTAGGCCACCAATCATGTAAGAGCAAAACCCAAAAATTCTACTTCTATTCAAAACTTTCTTCCATATAAAGAATAACAACTCCTAAGTCAAAACTGTTAACTTATTTTTAGAATGTATATGTTTTTAGGTCACAGGACCTGGGCAGGGACTTTTTCTGGTTGCAAATGCTTTCAGATGAAATGTAAATTGGACACAGGTTTTGCATTCAAGTAAAATCAGTTGTTCTCCTTCTGATGCATTGAAATAATTGTAGGGAAAAGCAGGCCTTTATCAGTGATAGTCTCTAGATTCAGTCTGCTATGCCTCCAAGCTTTCACTCTTATGTCTCTTATCCTTTTATTTTCCAGCTCTGTGTAGTTTGCCTCTTCTTTTCCATTGCTGGAAACAGTTGGCCTTGTAGCAGTTCTCCCTCAGCTTGTATTTCCTTCCTCTGTTCAATCTTCTTTAATCATTTTTTTCCATTACAGATGGATGTTCTGCCCAGGCTAATGGCCACAGAACTTCAGAAAACTAATTTCTTTACACAATACTGAAAATGATCGTCATAAATTATGTATTCACAGAATAATAGAATCATAAAATATGCTGAGTTGGAAGGGACCCACAAGGATCATCGAGTCCAACTCCTGACCCGGCACAGAACCATCCCCGAGAGTCACATCATGCACCTGAGAGCATTGCCCAAACACTTCCTGAACTTTCGCAAGCTTGGTGTTGTTACCACTTCCCCAGAAAGCCTATTCACCCAACCACCCTCTGGGTGAAGAATTTTTTTCTAATATCCAATCTAAATCTCCCCTGACACAACTTCAGGCCATTCCCTTGGGTGTGTCAGTGGTCACCACAGAGAAGAGATCAGTGCCTGTCCCTCCTCTTCCCCCATGAGGAAGATGTAGACTGCAATGAGGTCATGCTCTGCCTCCTCCAGGCTGCACAGATCAAGTGACCGCAGGGATTTAAAAAGTATGACTTACCATACTGTTCCAGCCTGAAGAGCAGCTGCAAACGTCAGTGCTTTATCAATGTCTTTGGTAAAAACTGCTGCTGCTAAGCCATATGTAGTATTATTTGCTCGCTTGATAACTTCGTCTATAGTTTTAAACTTCATGATTTGTTGGACAGGTCCAAATATCTGTATCAAACATATGTAAACTTACAAAGTAGACTAGAATAACTTAGTATTTTAAGTAATTTATATTTATTAAATTTACATCTATTCGATGGTTTTATTCCTGAATTCATTCAGCAAAGACTGTACATTTCAGGAAAAATTTCTAAAAAATATTATAAATTCACATAAAGATTGTTGAAATATGATTTAAATCAAGATAGCCTATCACAAAATAATTATTAAAACAATCAATAAATACATTAGGAAAACGAACAATAAAGATTAAAAGACTCCCACCATAAAGGGAGTTAACATGGTGTCACACTGTGCTACATACCTATACAACAAACAATTGGGTATTTTCTTGGTAAACTAGTTTTAAAGCAGAGAAAGACATTCAATTTTTTCTTCACCTAAATTTTCTATTAAACTTTTATCTCTGTAGGCAGCTACACAACTGGGAATGTACTCCAAGTGGAACAACTAATTCTGCTTTCCATATGGGTGTTAGGTGAGATAATAGTCCTTCAGGTTCTGCTTTCCTGCTACCATCACTCAGTGTTCTGAACCAGAGGTGCCCATGCCCACCACAAAATGCCAAGACTGTGTAGTGTGAGGGGGCATTGCTACATCCAATTACTTCTATTCCCACAGATTGTGAGCTTTCTACCTGACTGAGTTTTAGGGTTAGTTTCTAACTAATGTTGCAAGAGTTGACTTGCACAGATCAGAAAACCACTGAACATTCCCCCACTATTCAAACACTGAGCTTCAAAAGCTGGATATTCTTTAAATTGCCTTGCCTATCTGGAGTTTCATTGTTCATTACACTTAAAATAATGTGAGAAGTAGTTGTTTTACTGCTGACCAAAGAGAAATTAAGAGAGCAGCAAAAAACCCCACAAAACTCTGTGTGGTTTCCTACCTGACTCCTAGAATGACAGAAACAATCCAAATTCTGTCTCATAGACCTCTCTTCTCTTTTACAGCTCTCTCCTTGTCACAACTCTAGATGTTGTGGTCATTTTAACTAGGGCTGTTGACTCTTGGTGGATGTACTAGGTATGTTCATCAGACTGCATCAGCAGTATTGCTGGTTTTGTAAAGCAACAGTTAGGAGGATTTTGAAGGAGGTTTTTTAGGAAGAAGTGTAATGGACACCAATTGCAGCCCAATTGCAGCAGTTATTAATCAAGACGAATATAAAAAAACACAGAGAAGAGATCATGACTGGATTTTGAGGCTGTGTTTAGAGAACTAGCTGTCATAGCAGCTCTGCTGTTCCTTGCAGACTTTCACTGATGCCCTGGCACTGTCACCTTGGTTGGGTCAGTAAAAGATTTTTCAATCATATGTAGACACATTTGCAAACTGATCTAAATTAAATAACTGCACAGAGGCAAAACTCTGATGTACAGTAATTGTCACCAACAAAATAAATGTTGAAGAACAAATCAACTAGTTTCTCATATGGCAAAAGAGCTGCCTGGTGCATATTATGTCCAAACGCAAAATTAAGTAGCTCCCTAGGCAATGCAAATTGTTCACAAGCTGTGCCTCCACTGTTTGCTTCTCTGATACTGGTCGCTGTGATGCTGGTATGTGAGACATGGACAGTATGGGTAGATGTAAATAATCCAAACCTCAGCATTTTTCTGCTTCCAACCTAAATAGGTGACTTCGTAGGCAGGCCAGGCTTATACTCCTCTCCCTCACCACGACCAAGTTGGTGAAATGGGCATCAGAAACCAACAAAGGTGCTTTAAACACCACCAAGATGGAGCAACAGACTTATTGAGAGCATTTTTATGTCATTGCTCGACCTTCTAAATGAGTATTTTGTACAGACATTTAAATAGACAACCTTCAGTGAGAGAATGGATGGCTAAAAATTTGTTTACCTCTTCTTTGGCAATGCGCATATCATCCGTAACATTAGAAAAAACTGTGGGCTGGATGAAGTAACCCTTGTCTCCCCATGGACCTCCACCACATTCCAGTTTGGCTCCTTCTTTTTTCCCACTCTCGATTAGCTCCAGGATTTTTTCAAACTGCTCCTTGTCAATCTAAATGAAAAGATATTTCAGGGATGAAAACAGCACACACTGATAATAGTAGGTCTTCTAACTCACTAACCTGAACCTGACAAGGTTCCAGCTTTGTTCAATTACATGTTGAAGTCAAACAGGTAGAGAGCGCTGATAACATTCTTGTCATTAACTACTCAAAACTTTTTCGGCTTAAATAGACCAATAATCAGAAATGTTGACATAGGAGAATCAGGTGTAGAGGGACAAAATTAATGTGTCTTATACTTCTCAGTACTCTTGCCAGCCAAAAATGGTTCATCAGAACAAAAATTGCTGGGCTTTACTCTGAAAAAATAATGGAGGGCTTGATCTAACCAGCAAGACTCTCCTGTACTTCATCAGGTCTGGTAGATTGGCCATACTACTTTCCTAAAATATTAGAGGAAGTTAAAAAACAGCAATAAAATATAATTTAAATTCAATTTTTTTTTAGTTCATTCTCATTTATTAGTGGAATAAAGACATACACTTGTCATTTGAGAAACATAGATGACAAATTGTTTACAATATGAAGCCTATCTCTTGCCCTTCCACTAACTCAGGCTTACCAACAAATTCAGTATATGCCAAGTATATTGCAGTTTGGTTGTATAGTTTGGCAAAATGCATGGCCTTTGTCTGGAAAAGAAGTTTATGGTGACAGTACAACAGGTGCTTATATTTCTCTAACTCATTCCAGTTTTCTGTGACAAAATGGATAAAAGCAGATAGTGCAAATGGTGACTAGAAACAGATCACATGTTGTTTATTCTCCTCCAAGGTCCAAATCAACCAATCACCCTTCAGACCTGAAGGGAAGTTGTGCACAAGATAACATGTATGTCAAAAAAATCTCAATGATAAAGCTTGTTTGGTAAAGGCCTTTGACATTCTCTTGGGTTTGTTTTTTTTTTCCTTTCTTTGCTCCATTTTCATAATTCTTTCCTTCACTATTTCAGACTTCAGTCCTTCAAGTACAAGTTCATGAAGATACTGAGATTAATTCCAGGGTGACTCTAGCACAGAATATTCTTCCCTGTGATCATACACATCAGCCAGCAGAGCAGAGTAAGTGTGTATCTTATGCTCTTATTTGTGCAATAAAAATGTTGAATTTCAGTTTGAGCAATAAGTTTTACTACGGTCTTAGAACACAACAATATTTTCAAATGTTCTGGGGAATTCTGGGCACATATTAGATTCAACAGGTATTTAAATAAAGCTGTGATGAAAGTTTATAGCTATAAGGGTAAGAATTTAAGGACATGATTTTTAGTTCACTGCACTCCCTTTGTCATTTTACTTTCAAAGAAATGTTTGCCTTACTGAATGCTGAAGACATCTGCTACCTTGGTGGCCACATAAATATCTTGAAGAGAAAACAAGGTTTATATAGTACAGCTCATATTGTTGTCAGTCCTTCCTTTGCTATTACCATCATTATTTTTCTTAATAATGCATATATAAGATCTTTTGAATTCCAATAGGGCTTTTGACTCTTCTTTGATGTCCACCATGCAGTGTTACCCAAACTTGCCATTTAAGGTAGGTGGTGCCCCAGAGGGCCTGCGACCTGGACAACAAGTATGTCTTTTTCTCTATGGTAAGAGATCACAGTGGATAGGCCTGATACAGGCTATCAGTTTTTGTTTCTAGAAACCATTAGTCAAAGTACAAGGAATTTGAAGACAAATATTTAGCATAATTACCACAAAAGAAAATGCACCCAAACCACATGGTTACACTTTCCATTAAATGGGATCATACCAGTTCTAAAAGAAGTAACTTTGTTAATCTGTAAAATCATTAAGTTTCTGCTAAAGCTTGCTAAGAGAAAAATAAGTCAATAATGGCAAGTGATGAGATTAGAGGAGCAAAAAATCTTTATACTCTTTAAAATATTTTCGTTATTGCTTTTTCGCATTTAACTTTCCTTATTTTTTTTTGTAGAAGTTTACTTACATCTCTCATTCAAATTGTTAGCATGAATTTCACACTCAGTAAAGCCACAATAACTTGATAGAAGATTTCTGTTAATTTTATATTAACTGTACAACAGACACCTGGAGTTGACTTGTTTGAACATTCTTACCCTTTGACTTTTAAAATGTATTCAGATGAATGTTATCTTGTATCCAAACACATTGCAGGAAAATAACATTCTTCCCTAATTTTAAATTTCCCAAATCTTGTGTGGCTTGAAATGTTTTTTTTCTTTTCCAATTTACTTGGTGTATTTTATTACATAAAATGACTGTGATACCCAATGAAGAACATGTTACACTATCAAATGCGTTGGCCTTGCTTTATCTCCAACTTTTACTTTCTCTAAAACTGTTCTGTGACAATCAGCTGTGCACATAATAGCTCTACCAATAAAGTATATTCCTGTAGTATAAGCTGATATGGGACTAAGACTAGATGAAAACTAATTTAACAATGGTCTGATGTCATCCACTGAATTCACAGCATCATAATAACCATACTTATTAATGTTGCATTTTAGCATTCATTTGATGGGGAAGCTATTGGCATAACCTTTTAACAAAAGCAGGAAAAAACAATAAAATGTATTTAAATTGTGCACTATTCTAAAACTGAAAGTGGCAAAATGAAGGTCTAGCACCTTCAAAAAGCGGAAAAGACACTAAAAGTCTTACTTCCTCAAGTTCATCACTTTCAGTGGCACTATTTGAATATATAGTTAGCAATCTTTAACATAACATGGGTGATTATAATGCAGTTACAGCTGTTGCTTTGGAAGTTTCTCAAAGCACTTCATTTTTTTGTAATTGTTCCCCTCACTAATAAAAGGGACTAGAAAAGAGAAGGAAACCTCACTGTTTGGCTTATGACAGTGTTGTAAACAACAGTCTCTCTGGTTTCTTCCTCCTTGTTCTCTAGACTAACCACTGGAAAACTGTACTTAGCCTTGAAAGTACTGCAACAATAGGTTTAGATGTAATATTAAATTGCGATGTTGTGACACAGCTATGCTGGAAACATGTAACATTACTTACTTGAGGACCTTGCTGTACACCAGGCAACAGAGGATTCCCAAGAGTATACTTCTTTGCTCTTTCAATGCTTCGGCGAACAAACTCATCATAAATAGGCTCTTCCACAAAAATCCTAGATCCTGCTATACAACACTGTCCCTGGTGATAGAACAAACCAGTATGTGCAAATTCCACAGCAGCGTCCACTGCAAAGAAATGCAGAGTTCATCAGATCATAAACACAAATCGTCACATCATGCATTCTTTACTAACCTTTGTCACTACATCTCATTTCCTTTTTAGCACTTTGTATTTTTATGGTCCTTTAAACCATGTACTTTTGTCCGAACTACTCTTATCAAGTAACATCGTACACCTAGTTAAACACACATTAAGCTGTTTCATATGAAATGTAGATCCAACATTATTTACCGTGTTAGCAGTAGCAAGCATAGTATTCACCTAGAAATTTAATAAACCTGTATAAATCTGATTTTGGTTCTGCATTCATATTGCATTAGGATGATCATTACACTAAGGATGGACAGGTTGTCAGAGGTCCATATTCATTCAGGAGCTATAAGGTTTTGGTGGCAATCTAACTTAAAACTGTGGCATAACTAGAAAACATTAAAAGTTACTCCCTCAGTGGAAAGGTTTAAACAATTTACTGACAGAGAAAAGAAAAAGAGCATTAACTTTTCAGTAGTAGTATTTTATATAATAAAATTGCTACTAACAGTCTGCATCCGCAAATATAATGTTAGGACTTTTTCCTCCAAGTTCCAAGGTAACTCTCTTCAGATTGCTCTTTCCGGCTGCCTCTTTAATCAGTTTGCCAACCTAAAAGGTAGGGAGAGCATAGCTTCATCTCAGAAAGGTTATAATGACCTCAAAACTTTCTCTGATTTCCTCAGAAATGAAAATCCATTCACAGTTATCTACTATCCCAGTAATAAAATGACAAATAAATGAAAAAAAAAAAAAAATTGAAGAGTCAGGGTGCAGGTAACTTAGAATAGTTTCCTCCTGTATACATTCATGTTGTTGCCTAAAGATCAGTGAGGAAAATCTCACAAGGCAAATTTAGTATGGGTAAGATTTAGAGCAGGTTTTTAATGAAGGCCTTCTGGTACAAGGAGTACAAGAGTGAGCACATCTGTGTCCAAGGTTTCCAGAATTTACGGTCTATCTAAGAACTATCTGCCCCCAGATCCTCCCCAGATCTGCCCCACTGGCACGCCTCCCTGGAAATTCAGTCGGAGGCCCTAAGACCCCTTTATTTCTCATATTCCTCTTCTTCACAGCACATGCTGTCTTTGGAGCTTCTCCAAGGTTCCAGGCATGAAGTTTACTTTGACTATGATGGTACCTTGTTTTTCAGGCCTGGGTTCCATATGTTCTTAAGCAGAATGTGTTTACTATAATCCTGCCTTGAAAGGAGCCTAAACAAGCCTAAAGAATTTAAGAAAATTCTATACGAAATAGGGGAATAGGGTTTGGTGATTGTTAACTACTGTTCTAAAGTGTGACAGACTACACAGCTGCATTAAAATGCACAAAAGCAGAAAATCCAAAAAGTCCTGAAACATCAATGTTAACTGCTAAAGATATGTGCTGCTTTTTGGGTTACCACCATGATACTTGCATGTATCTGTAATCTAAAGTAGGCACTGATTTCTGCTTTGCCTGTTTCCCAATCAGGTTGAAATTTCTCTGTTTTATTCATGGGAAAGCCCTCTGATGCATGAACATGTATGAAAGAATCTACATTACCTGTATGGACACTTTCTTGTTCCAATTTCTCCCTTAAAAGAAAGAAGAGGAGGAAATGGACACTGTGAGGTAGAACCTCTACCCCACTTCTTTCTACTGGTGACATAATTTAAGGAACTACTTGCTATGAATAGCCCTGGAAAAACCATGAAGGAAAAACATGCTTGTAGCTCTTGTGGCTTTGATCTCTAACTTCCTGTGTGTAGCAGACACCACATAAACCTCCTTCCACTGTCAACCTTCCTGCCATCATTTCTCATTCCTAAATTGCAGTGCCAGTAGAGGACTGTCCCCAAAATCTATGAATACATCCTTGGGTCCATCTGCCTTTGGAGGGCCATGGGGCACTGGGAACTGTAGTTGTTAGTGGCTATTTGGAACATCTGTGGATCTTGCTTGTGTGTCTGGGGTTTAGGTTGTTTTCCCATTACTTCAGAACTAAAGGTTTTTAAAAGTAAACATAGCTTTTGCACTCAGTATGTACTCATCCTTGTCAAAAGGGAATGATATTTATCTTTGGAGTCTATATCCAAGAAGTTAAGAGACCAGGTGGCGGCTTTCCCATTTAGAATGGAAGCAGACAGACAATATAATGAAGTGTATTAAGGATATAGCTATATAATGCCTGCAATGAGAAATCTTCAATTGTATCTATCACTCACAGTCCTTCAGGGTGAAGATTAGGGAAAATTAACAGTGACCTTCCTTTTAATTATTAAACTAATACATAACCAAATACTTTTCTAAGACCACCCAGATGATCCTAAGTATAACTGATATATCAAAAAGCCATCATCTCACCTAAGTGTGTGCAGAACCAGGAATGAGATTTCTTAGGTACCTTCCTACCATCCTACTGTTATTAAAATTAAACGGAACTTCTTTAAAAAAGGTGCAATCTATGTTATGAAAATGTTCTGTTTTAAATGCATAAGACTTAAAATAGCCTTGGTATATGAGAACCTAGTGTATCCCATGGACTGCCTTTGTTTGAAGGGCTTGCCAGCAATAACAAATACTGTTCAAATATGTTTAAAGTTAATAATAACCAACGAATCATTAAACAGAATTTGTTTAACAAACCAGTAGTCAAAAGAAAGAAGAGAGTTAAAATAATTACATGGAACAAGTTAGACATTAAATCATTGGTGGGAATCAGAGGAGCACATTTCCTGCTTATATTTTCTTGCATTCATTATAGTACCTCTGTAGAGCCTGTGAAAGCTACTTTATCTATATCCATGTGGTGAGAAATTGCTGCTCCAGCAGTGGGTCCAAAGCCTGGTACAATGTTCACAACTCCAGGTGGAAATCCTGCCTGAATTAGAAGAAAGAACTCCGTAAATTTGGGGAAGGATAATGACTAGAAGAATATATCTCAGGCAGTTTTACTTCCCTTCTCCAGCCATCTTTTCTCAGCCATACATTTATTTTCAGCCCTACACCCCCAATTGTTTTCATTCTCCCAGTATTTATGCCCTTTTAGTTTCTTGGTGCTATTTCCAAAGAAATGAATTTTTTTTTTCTTTTCTTACTCAGTCAGAAAGAAAGAAAGACTGCTTACTTTTATGTCTGCTTCTTTAAAGCTGTTTGAATCAATGTGTGTGCTTGCTGACTTCTGCACATTAGCATCCAGGCAAGGTGAAATTTAACTAACGATCTGTTGCCTGAAATTCTATTAAAAAAATGATGGAAATAGTACCTCAAACTCAATGTCTTAGCTTGTTCCTCTGGATGTAGGTTGAAAGCAGAGTGGGCAGCACGAGAGTTTACAGTAAAAAAGAGGCAGATCAGCTACCAAGCATGAAAAAGCAGGTCACCTGAGATATGCACACTTCCAATATCCTGCACGTTTTTTATGCAAATAGGCTTTTCCTGTTTTTCAAAACAAATCTGTGTTTTCCTATCAATCCTGTATAGTTATGTTCCATTCATAAGCAAAATAAGCTATTTTCTTCCAGAAGGTTGTCAGGCAAACTCCAAGGATGTGTGAAATACAGCTGGATTTTTTGCCAGTTTATGAAGCAGGTATGGGATCTTAAAGGCACTTGTAGTGTAAACATTAAATTAAAATTCTAAAAAGATTCATGTCCTGCATTATCACTTAAATGAGTCTCTTTCTAACATTAAATGGACTTTGATATTACATACAAAAATTTCAATTTTTAATTGGAAAATGGTGAATTTCAGGTGATGAGTTACGGCTTCTAAAACTTAATGTCCTGTGTTATCAGCACCTTAGTGTTACTTTTATTCTCCCAATTTTGATTCCTTACAATTTCATGCTCAGATACACTCTGTCCATGTTTGTTATGCTCAGTTAATATTCTAGATTAATATTTACCCTGAAATATTGAGGCAATGAGGTTCATTCCATTTGCTTAGCATTGTGTTTCATGCTTAATTTGTAGAGAAAAGTAAGAAGGGTAATTTTTAATGGAACTAATTCACACTGTGTCACTTTGAACATTTAATTTCCATGTTTGTTTTAGAAGCTCTTCACTACATATTAAAAAGGGAGACTTTTGAGGGCTATTAAGAACGACAGTGAAGATTACCAAAAGTGACAATTTTTTTTTTTTAATGTGGACACTTGAGAATTAGAAAGTTAAATTAGACCTTCAGCTATTTTTACAAGTCTTTACAAGCAATTGAAGTGATGACTGTCAGGGATTTGGCTCCAACTTTGTTTGGATACTGATCACTTTACCACTTACGAGCATTCTTTTCAGGAAATCAGAATATCAGAATAGGTATTTCATTAGAGTGATAGGAGAATTGAGTTATTTTCCCTGTAAAGTTACTTTTTCTAGATAAATATACTTTCTGATACTTATTGTTAAAAATTAATAGGGAAAGTATCTCTAATATTTTTTAATGCATTTCCTCCTCCCCAGTATTATCTAATAGCGTTTACTATGTGATGCAATAACAACAGGACTTGGGTCCACCCTGATAGTCATTTAGTTTCTGTGTAATATTAATACATAACCAGTCAGTATGCTCTGCTGAGTCATTGTTTTGAAGCAGCATAATAAGATGTGCCAAGTCATTTCCATTAAAATTCAGCAAGGTTACTGCCCTGCTGATTATTGACATCTGTGAATACTTTTGAAACATGTTAGATTACATTTGTTGATTTTATTGAGAAGAAAGCTAAAGTATTTAACTGTTCCCTTTGGGGGTTTGCTGGCCTGGGTACAATAGTTAACTCTGGAGACATAGTGCACAAAGTGTATTCTCACAGTTTCTGTGTGATGAAAGTTCATAGGTTTGGCAGTCACTAGTTCGATTTTATGGCTCCCAGTTAATAATAAACCCAGATGGATGAAAACTGCTTTCAATTGAAAAAAAAAAAAAACAAAACTGTACAAACAGGTTCTTCTCTGTGATAACCATGCTATAAAGTCCTTGCCACCCACATCCATGTACTCTGCACTTGAGTTCTTGCTTGCTTGCTTGCTTTTGACTTTGAAAGATACTGTGTTTTTGTAATACAAATATATTTTTGAAAGAATGGAATTTTGTATGTGTGTAGTAGGCTGAAAGATATGCATGCTTTTGCCCTAGATTGGTTTCACTGGATTACAGTAAGGCAAGTGCCACAGTGCAAGGCTAGGCATGCAATGAGAAGTACTGGCAGAGGCCAGCCTGGATTATATTACCTCTGTGGCTTTGCAGCTGCATTATACTCTTACATTTTTGAGAAGGACAAGTAACTTTGTTGTTGATGACTTACCTCTTTAATTAAGGATCCCATGTAAAGGGCAGTGAGTGGAGTTTGTTCTGCTGGTTTGACAACCACCGTGTTTCCACAACAAAGGGCAGGGGCAATCTTCCACATGAACATAACCAATGGGAAGTTCCACTGAAAGACAGATGAGAAAGTGTATCCTATTTCTAATACATCACCAAAGTGCCTCAGCTTTTCCTGTTATAATAGGGTAAATTGTCAACTGAATGGTTGAACGCTTTGTTGAACTCTTTTCAGAATGAAGGTATTTTGAAAAAGCAACTGGCAAACCACGTAACACAAAGACCAGTGATTTTTGTATATTTTAGTACAGGGGATCCAAGGTACTAGTTAAAAGCTCAAGTGGCAGTAAGTGTACGTCCCTAACAGCCTTACAGACAGCTGTTGGATTAGTGGTACAATTGGGAGTTTTGCTATCTTAAATGATCACATCCATCATCAGTTCAGTTTTCTAAGGGAGGCAAGGTAATAAGTAATGCTACCCCTTCCCTTTTCCTTAGAGGTTTCAACAGCACTTGTGTTCAGTCCAGACAGACTGCAGAGCAGCTTTAGACCCCATGTTCTGTAGTGTGAGGGGTAATGTGACCAGGGTAAAAACTGTTCGTCCCTTTAAACATATTTCTCATAGTTTGGGAAGCATTGAGTCCATGAGCCTCCGCTCATAAGTCATCTTTACAAAACTGGGAAAAAAGGCTGTTAAGAGCTTCCTATTATACATCAAACTGTTCCTTTTCTCTCTCCTTGTCTCCTTTCAGTCTCACCCCACCAGCAAAAATAGTGGGAGCATAAATAACACAAAGTGAGGAATTACAGGGTTTTCTGAATATTCATCATTAAAGTAGTACTGAGTCAGTGAAAGGAAATGGAAATGGTGAGCTATCAAAAGTGGTTTGCAACATTCACATAGTCCTCAAAGTTTTGCTTTCTGTGGAAGCCTGCAACTTGGTGGTTCTTTTTTTAATGAAGAGAAACTTAGGAAATGCACAGAAATCCTTGAACATTTTATTAGGGAAGGCAGTGTTTGTACTAAATGCTGCTTATACTTCCAGGGTGTAATTTTATTTAAAATCGTCACATCTAGTGTTTCTATTTCTTTAGCTTATCTTAACTGAATGTTTTACTTGAAATATTTTCTGTCTGACTTATAAGAGAATCAGTTTCCTAGCTCTCCTAGAGACTGGATCCAAACATATCCCAGCAATGTTCTCCAAATCAATGTGGTGGTCTAAAGGGATAGCAAATCTTCAAGCTCAACTGAAAAACATCAGGAACAAGTCTGGGACCCACATATTTGAGCAAACCTAACAGACAATGTGACTATTTCAGAATCTGTTAAGTTGTTGGGAAGGTCAGGTGAGATTTCTCACTACTACCATATGCAAAAAGGTGCATGGATTAGGAGTGTCTAATGCATGCAACTATTTTCACAGGCATCCACTAAAACTAAAAGACCTCACAAATAAATCGAAAAGTAGAGTTCTTCAAGGTTGGTTTTTTGAATCTTCACTTAAAATAAGTGACTTCAAAACTGGAAGATTAGACATGTCAAAGAGGAGCTTATTGGACACATTCTTTGTGTTGTTACTTGTATCACCACCATGGTGAATGAGTCTTAGCCATAAGTAAAAATCCATCTGTCTGGAAGCTATACAGAGCAGAACAGACATTTTAGGTCTTAAAAAGGCTGTAAATATTACACTCTCCTACATGTTAGTTTCTAATTCTTTCAGTCCCAACAAAACATAATTCCATATTTCAAATGATTCCGTCAATCTTTTGAGATTTATTTTCCCTCCATATACAGGTAGGAGGGAGACAAGTTGAACCAGACTGACTCATCAAAAATTGTGTTGCAGAATTTGAGTACTCAGGATAGTCTTTATCTTTCAAGATCTGAAATTTTCTGGTCATTTTTCACAAATGTACTTGCATAGGCAAAATTTCAAAAGCATTTCCATTTGTAATAAGGAATACTTTTGTTTTACATAAATAGTTCCAACTTACAGGAATAATTTGGCCACACACACCAATAGGCTCATGTCTTGTAAACGTAAAAAAGTTTCCATCTGTGGAACAAAGAAATAATTAGACATGCAGACAAAGCACTTGTGAGAAACAGTTAAATCAGAAAGATGATACAGTTGGATACCAAACTTAGCTGGATACAATTTTACTTATAAATGATACTTTCAAAATCTTAACTATGATAAGAACCATAAAGCACATCTGGATTCAATGCCTACTTTCTTCATCCAAGATTTTTTTGCCAGTCTGACTGACTTTTTGCAGTGATAATCCTGCTTCTTGATGTAGTATGCACAGCACACCAATGAGCATTCTTAATTTCTTTTTTCTTTTATCACCTTTTTCTTTTCAGAAAGTGCTCTTTTAAATCCTGGGTACATATCAGACATTTTTTAATATTAGGTCTCAGCTTAAATCAAATCCTTTTAGTATAAAGTCCTCTTTGATTCAAACAAACATGTGTTCCATTAAGCCTAGCATAGAGACCTATGTGATGCAAAAAAAGTTGAAAGTATTTATCACTCCAGTTTTCCTTAATTCCTTCTTTATTGCCATTCTTTTCTTTGTCCTTCTTCAAGAAGGTAGCTTGAGAGACAATGTTTTCACAGAGCTGCATAATGGGAAAGGGAATGGAGTGAAATTTTGGCAAAATACGTTTTCCTTCTTCCAATCTCTTAGTACTTACTCTTTCTAGTACATTATCCAACAACTGAAACAAATATTACTTCTTTGTCTTAGCTTTAATAAGCAAATACCTGTTTTTTCACTACTGTAGTCTTGCATAAACTGTACATTTCTATGCAAAAGTACACTACCAGATTTCTTAGGTATACATACAGGTTAAATTTGTTGGTCAATAACCAGTAATGGTTAGTAGTGCATAGAACAATAAATAAATGTGAAGAACTGCACTAAATGTTTAAACTGAAAACTATGATAAATCTTTAATAACCTATACTAAAAACTATCTAAAAAAATTTCCATGAGATATTTTCCGTGTTGCACAACTTTTAGATGAAAGTCAGTTATTTACAGCTCCCATTGGCTTCAGTTCTGTACTTTTGTTATCCAAAACTACTCACCCACTGGAACAGTACGCCCATGGATTTTATCAGCCCAGCCTGCACAGTAGCGTAATGATTTGATACAGGCACCTAAGTCCATTAGGTAGGCTGTGGAAAAGAGTTTCCCACCTTCAGTGGCTTCCATTGTCTGCAGACAACAGCAATCAAAAAGTTAATATCAAATACTGATAATGGTTCTTATGCTTATAGTTTGTCACTTAGATTTTGGTAGTTCAGGTTGAGGATTTTTGTCTTTAGTACAAACATTTAGATTAATTCTCCTTTGAAGCACACTACTTGAAAAACTTAAGGTAGCAATTTACAGGTGAGAAATTTTCATGATGGTTTATTTGTCTGGAGCAGATAGCAGATAGCATTATTGTGGCAAATTTGTAATGGTAAGAATGTACTGAAAAAGCAATAACATTTCTCCCATCTGAATCAGTTACACTGTTCTGGTTTGTGTTAAATATTCTGCAAGCATAGGTCAAGAGATCAGGTAGGAGTCTGTGCAAGTAACTGATGCAAATAAAATGAGCGGTGTTCCTCACATATCAGCAAGAAGACTCAATGGCATATAATACCTTAACATATATATATATTTATATATATATATATATATATATAAAACATGTCATATGACCCTAATACCTTGAATGTTTGATGAGCAAAAGAAAAATCTGAGTCAGTTAGAACTCCTAACAGAAAAATTCACTATGAGAAATAAATATTTACACAGAAGAGACTTTCTTTTATTGGCTAACTACCACCTGAGTGATCTAGCTGGTCTTATTTGAAGCTAAACCTGATTCTCCATGCCAGGTAGACATAAACTTTTACAACAATGATCAATAAATATTCATTCAATGTCTATAACTCTTCACCTGGACAATTCTGTTCCACCCACAGAGACACCAGCACTAAATAGGGTTGATTGCTAGCCAGATCCAAAGAGTGTGGTTTGGATTAATGCCACTTCCATACCCCTAATTACTGGGACATCTAGTTAAAGATCATGTACAGTTCTTAAATAGTGTCAACATCTTTTTGACGCTCCTAAATTTTTTCCCCAAGTTTTCCAAAACTGAAGACCTCCAGCTTTTTTAACAATCTTGTTATAACATTCATAGCAAAACCCCAGATCTTATAAATACATTTTTCTTTTCTAAATTTGTTGGGGTTCTTTAGCATTTCAGATTGTATCTACAGACTGATCCTTTAAGAACAGTTTTTCAACAATAGTGCCCCTGTGAAGTCTACATTTTAGTTGACTGGACACATTTCAGATATCATATTTGTGAAGAGAACGGAAAAAACAGAGAAGACAGCAATTCTTGATGGCTTTCTGCAACAAGGAACTGATTAAATGAGATATGCCTTTGCCATTGGAGGTAATATGTCTGAAACCTTTTTTTTTCTGTTTGGAGATGGGAGAAAATTATTCCCTGTCCTCAAACTTATGAATCCTCTAGCTTTCAACATCACAACAGACTGAAACATAAGAAACACAATTCTCAGTGACTTTTTCAGTCCCCTGTTTTGACTTACTGTTCCAGTCACCTGCCTATAGGGCTGCTGAGCCTCTGAAGCATGTTATCATTAAACAAAACACTGAAACAGAGTAATTTTCATCCATGAACACAGGAGAATACCTTAGCAATGAGCTTTCGGGATCCATTTTGATTCCTAGTGTACTCTAGGGCTACAGACCTAGTGATGTCTAGGGTTATCTGTTATTCTATAGTACTAGTTCTGCAGGTAGGATAAGCTGTGAGTCAAGAAAATCTCCCTTCACTTTGATAAAGTCTAGAAAGCACTTTGTTCAAACACACCTTATCGAAAAGGGTAAGTAGTTTATAGTGTGAGTAAGATGTAAGAAATATAAATAAAAAAAGTAAATTAGAAACTAGGGAGGGGCCTCAGAGAAAAGCAATGCTTTTATATTACGAAAATGAGAAATGGGAATAAAAACTAACTCAATGTTTCAATTTTTTCTGTGGAAAAAAAATATTGTATCTTTACTATCTCTGTAAGGCTTAGGCTTTACAATAAAAAACTAATGCCAGCTTATTCAATATTTAATTGACAAGGGGATATACTTTCCTATTAAAAATGTACCTCTCATAAAATTTTGTGTCTCTCATCTCAAATAAGTCTAGCATTGTAAAGGACGTTAAGTTCCAGCCATTCAAGGTTTCTCCTGATAAACTATGCTATGGTCATAAGGACATACAATGGGCAATAGATGCTTTGCAGGTTTTATTTATTTGAAGGTTTAAATTTTACAAACTTATCAACAGTGTGGTCTGTGGCTAATGGTTAAATAATTCAAACTGTAGCTGGACCAGTCTGAGTGATTATACTTCTTCTTCTCTTTAAATTTGTTTGCACTGTTGACAGAAAACCAGGAATCATATTCAGCGTAAACAATAATCCTGCCTAAATTTAATTTCAGAATGTTCTTGAAATAGCAGAGAGATCAGCTTAATGATAGCATCATATGTGGGGCTTAAAACAAGGGGAGGAATGCATCTCTATTTTACACGTTATTTCTTGGCTTAGTTCCCTATACGTAGGTGGGGGTGTAACAACTTAAGTGTCTGCTCTTAGATGTGGTAAAATTGCCAATACACAGTATTTGATAAAGACAAGACATCATTTTCCCCCACCATGTTCTTCTTGCCTTTAAAGACTTCATTGATGCCTTTGGTTCTGGTTAAGATTAATCTCTCATTACCAGTTCCAAGCTGGAGTTAAAGAAGGACCAGTGTTAATGAAATATATAGGCACAAAATTCAAAATTTTTCCCAGTTTTGACTTGTATCATCTGTAAGCACTGAGCCAAGCTTTGAGTTTGAGCTTTGATTCAGGCTTTGATTTGGGTTTAGGACTCTGTTCTGGCTTTGGTGTAAAAAAAATGCTAACCATGCCATCTATGTTAGTATGTCCTTAAGTATCAACAATTCAAATTACCGTGATTGTAGGTAGTTTAAGTATCACTTTAAAGTGATCAAATACGCAAGTACTTTTTGGATTTGGGGTGTTAATAAGTCACAGTCCAAACCAGTTTACTGCAGTCATTTTGCTATAGAGATGAAAATCTAATATTTAGAAAGCCTGACTTTCCAAAGGATAGGCACATCACACTTCCTTGCATCTTTCTTTAAAAATCAGGACTTTTGTCCTAGTTTTTTGGTCACATATCATACTCACAGCTAAAATCAGCCGATCTCTTTCAACTAAGTCAGCTAGTTTATTCAAGAGCCTTCCTCGCTCTGAAGCATCCATTGTACGCCAGGGCGACCCAAGCTCAAAAGCCTTTCTAGCTGCTTTAACTGCCTTGTCTACATCCTCCTGTGGGGAAAAAAAAAAACTTTTATAATCAATAATTGATTCTGTCATTTTTGGCTGTTAATTATGTGAAGTTTAACATAAAGTTTAAATAAGAGAAACCAAGACCAATCTAAAATTAAATACATAGGTTATTTTTTTTTTTCCAAACACTTCAGTTGCTGTCTCAGCAATGTGCATTGTATAAGAAACAGGTGGTGGGTTCTCAAAGCTTCTAAAATAAAAACATATTAAGGAACTCTATTTTTAAAATTTAAATTTTCAATCTCTCTTCATACACCAAGCAATTACACTGATGATACAATTAAATGTCTTTTATTTATGAAACGAGGCCCAAATATCCAAGTTAAGTGTTTAATCATTCATCATGTAAAACCATCTTGTGATGTTGTGAAGACCAGGTTATAAAAATCTGCTCTTTAGGATGTTTCGTAAAATAAACAGAAATTTATTATTGTGGAAGAAAAATTAATACATTTATTTTGGGAATATTTAAGAAAAATTTGTGTTTAAAATTATTTTTCAAACATAATTAAACAAAATTAAAAACGCCACCTCATTTAAAATACTAATCCTAAATATAATTTGTCAGTCCATTAATGTTTTTCATAGCATATTTTATTATTTATCATTTAGCCTTCACTATAGAAGGAAAATCTATGGTGAATTAATTGCATGTAACTATTCTGTGCAAATGGTGTTCCAGGATTAAAAAAACCCAAAACAAAACAATTAAAAATCTCTTTTGAGAAGGCTTTTAGCGCTTAGAATTCTCCTATATTTCATAATTCTTGTAAAAGTTTACACAGGAAAACAATGACATAAAAAGGAGATTTATTCTAGATTTTTTGTTAGAAATTAGAAACAAATTTCAAGGAAAAAAAAAAAGTGGTTTCTACGCATGCCACATTTCCCTGAGAAATTTGTGTGCAATGTTTGAAGTATTTCTTTCAAACGTTTTTGTACTGCTGTTTGCTGAAGTCTCCTCCAGGGAAATCACTATCAAGGTTGACTAAGTCAGCAAAGTTGACTGAGTTGGCACCAAAATCATTAAACATGAACCAGATCTTAAATCTTTAACTGGTGTTGGTAGCCAGGAACAAATTTTTAAAAGCTATGAGTGAGGTGGGTGAGTGGCTTCGAAAGCCCAGCACAGACCTGTTAAGCAGGAGGCCCGCAGAACTTCCCAAATTTTTTTCCAGGATATTTGGGAAAAGATGGTAAGGAACTATACAAGTAGCATAGCCATCACTATAGGACCATACTGAGCAGTCACCTACATCAGGTAGCTGAAATCTACCAGTTTAAGAAGAATTGCTTTTCTTCAGAATCTTCAGAATGTTGTCAAATACATCATCACTGTCTGAGAACCCTGTCATAAATATTCTACAGCTTTTCAATATGTCTTGTGGAGGTATAGCTTTACTCCTTTACTGGAAAAGGACAAGGGGGAAACAAAAGTAGTACTGGTACAAATGATGTAAATTAAAACTACAGTACCATACGTTCTTTCTACTAGAAGTGCAGAAATCATTAAAACCAAGAGAAGTAGGATAAAGGTTTTAAAGGGCCACGAATGAAAAGTAATAAAAAAATTATTGTTCTTCAACAGTATGAAATTTAATTCGGATACATAAATCTACACTATGAGTATAAAGACTATTTTCTGGGCCAGTTTAAACTTTTTTACATTTACTTTACGTACACTGACCATTTGTTGAGCTGTTTTATTACTACTAGGAGCCTTTAGGATTAGGAACACAGTTTGAAAGCACCATCAAACTGAAAGGAAACAGTTCCCACCCACATAAATGTCTGTGCTTTGTAATCTCCTCGTTTTTTTAAAAATGCCACTACAAGGAATGGGACAGACCTTTGTCAACCCTATTGTATGCACAAATTAAATGCCTAAAATCTTTTGACTCATTATTGGAAGTCTAGGCTCTAACATATTAGGTTCATAATGGCCATGTAATTTACTAGATTTGTACAATTCACTTGGTAATTTAGTTAATAGCAGTTGTCATCACACATTAGTTTGCAAAATTATTGAAGAGAAAGCAAACCTGATTGTCGAATAGTATTATCTCTTTGTCTAATGAGTTGCTGGAGTGCTGGTACGGAAAGGAAGCTACAAAAATTTTGTGTGGTAACTGAACAGTTGCAAGTCATGAGTAATTTAATTTGAGAGTGATCAAATATCAGTGTCTCAGCACTATATATAGGTAAGTGGGACAAAAGCGAAGCCTTTGAAAAAACTCCTGGTTAGATGTACGAAATAATTAAAAACATACTTTCTCAGCCATCTTTTTCTAAAAAAGAAATTAAAATATGTCTTCATTCTAACCATCTTAGAAGTTTGTGGTCACTATTGCTCATGTGCTAGACAGCCTTAGAGACACAGTTTATTAGGAGATTCATAGTGAAAATATGGACCAAAGTAACTAAGACTTAATGAGCAAACGATTCTGAATGTATTTCTTAAAAGAGAATTTCATTTCAGGCTGAATCTTTGTGCAGTAAATTAAAGCACTCTGAAAGAGCCCATGCTTACTATATTGGCAATAAATGTTTGGTGAGCTTATAACACAGGTAAGGAACTTATAAATTTTACAATAGTTCTGGACAAAAAGGTGTTTAATAAATATTTAGCTACTAAGCTTAAAAAATGCTTGTATACAAAACATTGTAGGTATGGATATTTCTTGACTAAAATAACACACCATTTTGTAAGAAATGTGAAAAAATTTTCTCACTTTTGGATATAAAAAATTGACTTTGAGGGGGAAAGTGTAAACACTGAAATAAATATTTGTAAGAACCAAATCATTTCAAAAACCAATTTCATTTCCAGATACAGTCATCTTTGAACTGGAAATGGGACCTTCACTTCTCATATTTGCTTGCTCGGTTTATAAAAAAAAATGGTCATCATTTTTAAAACATTGCCTGTCCTTCCCCCACCTTGACAACTTACATTTAAATGATATAGCAGCACTAGCCAAATCCTTTTCATGAGAAAAGCACATAATACAGCAAAATATAGAGCTTAGCACTTAGGTTTTCATTATATTTTTTATTACATGACATCTATCTGTAATTTTCCTCTAAGGAATCTCATAAATATATGTAAAAAAATGTTTGTTTACAGTTTTCAACAAGTTTTTTAGTCCTCTGTTTAAGTTCATTGATTGAATATGTTTTAAGTAGATAATTAGTGACTGCTTGATAGGCTACCTTCAACTTCAGTTCTTTTTTGGACCATGTTCCAAGGTATTTTTCCAAATAAAATATTTGAAGGGGGCAATACTGAGAAGACATATTCATACAAATGCTGATGGTAATAATTATCTTCACAGAGTATGTGTGGGAAATTAAAAATATTTGCCCTCTTCATATTATCTATAATGGAAAGTCTTATGTAGATGTGTAATGAACAGGTTACATTACTGAGTAAGGAAGAGCAAGAAAAAACAACAAAGACACACAATTAAGTTTTTAGGTAAGACAGATCACAGATAAGAAAAAGAATTGACAACATTAGTAAGACAAAGTAGCAAAAAATATTTTTTTAGAACTTTTCTTATATGAGTAAGATCCTAAGGTAAGGATCCAGTTTTTCAGTGTCTTTTTACAAAAAATATTATGACTTAGTTAAAAAAAAAAGAAAAAAAAAAAAGAAGCTAAGAATTATTTTGCAGAAGAAAGTATATAGGATGAAGTAGGTACATCCCTAAGGTGGTTACATCACAGAGATGGCTGTATGGCTGTTTGCCTTCCTGCTTTTAAGATGAAGAAGTAAATTTAAAGTTAGAATTATGAACAAGAAAGAAGTTTTACCTTGTCGCCTTCTTCAACCTCACAGATTTTCTCTTCATTTGCAGGGTTAAAGACTGCAAATTTTTTACCACTGACTGAATCATGCCACTCATTGTTTATAAATATCTGCAGGGGAAGAAGGAGTGTAACAATATTAGTAACACATATATAGCTGTTGTCTCTCATCTGCTCTAGTGAATGAACCTATCTTTCATACCTGATAGCTGCCTGACTGATACCTGAATTAAAAATAATTAGCTGTTTCTAAATTATTCTGAAAAGATGAGTAATCACATGTAAACATAACAGGGATCAGCCTTTTAAAATTGCCTTCTTTTGAAGAGGCAAACCTTCTCTACATTATATTTTTGCTTTGTTTCATATCATAAAAATATACTGTTACAAAGGGCTCCTTCCCCTCTCAAACCGAAATCTACGATGTGCAAGGGAGGTACATCCCTAAATGACCTACCTAAAACTACCTGGGTTTCCTGTTCTCACAGGGTTGGTAACAATGGCGGGCTTTCTTGTTACACAGCCTTACAGAAGTAAACCCAATCCTTGGGTTTAGTGAGTATAATAACTTAAATTAGAAGTATCTTGGAGAGCACTGTTGTATTTAGGTTTGCTTTGATTTTTCTTCACTCTCTCCTGCCAAAGAAAAGAAAATCCCAAACCAAAACCAAATCAAAAGCCCTAAACAAACAACACCAACAGTATGGTTTTCTGACATTGAAGTTGGACTGAAAAGCCCTCACCAAAGTCAATTGAATGAATCACAGAATCACAGAATAAATAAGGTTGGAAGGAACCACAGTGGAACCATATGGTCCAACATCTCAGCTCAAGCAGGATTATCCTGAAGCACATTGTACAGAATTGCATCCATGTGGTTCTGGGTGCTTAGGACATGTGTAAGGATCTCGGGGTGAAATTTCAGGTACTTACCTCTGTTCACAAATGCAAAATAGAACCTGGGTCTTACATGTAGATGCACAAGATCTGTACTACTCTAGAATAATGTGTGAGGCCGTGTTGGTAAAATTGTCAGAGTGGGTTAACTTTTTCAGACTGTAGGTTAGCCTCAAAACAGGCTAAGACAGGAAAGGCTTTTTGGGAAGACGTAATAAATGCACAGGTTGAAAAGACGAGGCTGTGTTGCTAAGAAGTATTATGTAGGTTGCTCGTTGAAGTGAGCATGATAAGGTATACAGTCTGATGTTAACTACCAGTCCTTCTCTGCCTGATAATCTCTGGGTCAGTGATGAAGTGGGGTCCCACACTGAGCTGCCCTCCCAATGCCTGAGCCCATCTTCCTGGTGCTGGTGGGCTGGTGCTCTCCCTTCTCACTCTCTCCCAACAAGCCTGCATTGCTGGCAGGCATGTAAGGTCTTGATGAGTATGATCAGATGAGTATGATGAGTATGTCAGACTCTGACTGACTGCACCAGCTATTTTGAACTCAAAAAGTACCTCTCTTGCCTCACCTTTAGTCACTGGAGCTTAGCCATTGAGATACCTAGCAGAAAAGATGTGATTCCTGTTTCCTTTCCATTAGGATAAAGGACTTATTGTTGCTGGTTATAGAGCAGGAAAATTGAAATGGAAAACCAGAAAATACTTTGGGGCAGTCAAAGTCAAGACACCAGAACTACAGGATAAATACTTTCTGTCACATAGACCTGGGAACTAAACCCTTCCACCACAACCACGTATGTTGTGAAAATGTATCTGATTTCAGGAAATAGACTTTTTTGCATAGCGTTGAAATTGCTTACTCTGAGTGGTAGTTGATAATTAGGGAATAGTTTGTGAATAGGGATCAAGATCAATAAAATACTATATTTCCATAAATGAATATGGTAAAAATTTGCTATTAATATATTCCTATATGTTTCAGATTGTCTCTATGTGGGCACCTTATACACTGTCACTGTAATGTCTGCCCATCAGGGCTGACCAGCAAACTCCTGATTTAACAAAAGCTATCAATCCCTGGAAAGTCCCTGGAAATTTCAGACAAGTGATGAAGCTGGTTATAAGAATATCCACACAAAATTGTGGCTGTGGTGAAAGGACGAAGACAGCAGCTAAATGGTTAATATGTCCCTCTTCCCCCATCTAGATATACTGCCAAGAAAAGAGACAAAGCGAAAGGTAAATATTAACGTAACACTGATGTGATGTTACAGTATGCTAAATTCATATCTGTCCATGAAAGGAACAATAGCAAAACATACCATTTTTGGAAATTTTTGAAGTGTTTGTTTAAATATTACATTTATTGCACCAACTAATATCACCCATAATATTAGTTTAGAATATATCTGTTATTGATGTTTCTAATACCATTTCTGTTAAAATATAACTTCACTATATTAAATATATAAACATCATTGTATCAGGGCTGTATAAATCAAACTATCCAGATGTCTTTCATAAGCTAGATAGTGGGCTTGTAAATGCAGGTATGAAAGACAGAAAATAGAAAGAAAAAGTCAAAACTCTACAATTAAGCTGTATAAATACATTGGAGGCAGCTGTACTCATAAAAGTGCATGCAGCCATGCTCATTAAATGCTGTGGAGTATTTGCTACAAACAAATAGGATGTGGATCTCTAAATCCAGACAACGTCACAGTACCTGCTAATAGCAGCATCTAACAGCAACCTTGACTGAGAAAAAATATGTTTGGGATCATCTTGCAATAGGTTACAGTGTTTTGTCAGTCGGTCAGAACTCCACTGACAGCTTGGCTAACATAAATGCAAAGGACCTAACCCTCTGTGGCAAATGCTGTACAGGGCTTTGTCTGTATTGACTGACTATGGCCCATGAGGTTTAGGGCTACAAATTTGTTTTACAAGGATTTAGAAATGTTGTTGCAGGTGTTTTGTAAGTGTTACTTCACTGGAATTTTAGGAGAGATGTATTTTTATTGCAATGACTCAAAGTACTAAAGACTTTCAGATTTCTTTGCAGTAGAACTGGAAATACACATTTCCTGTAAGTGAGACTGTACACTACTAAAGCTTAGTATTTCAAATAGAGCCCAGCAACAGGCAGTCAAACCCCTCTGACTGTCTTTCTTTCGCAATGAGAGAGTGCTGTAAAATCTTGTTTCTTTGAAACGATTGATTTCAGCTCAAATGATCTAACACAATTCATCATTTAGGGTTGAAATTACCTGCAAGACTACAGTATTTCTGACCTTTTTACACAGTTGATTTCATCATTCAAATGACCTGAGCAGCGAATGGGGAGACAAGACCTGAATTTTGCCTTTTTTTCTGTCTTCTCATCAGTTTCTTTTCCGTCAGTCCTGGAGTATTTTGAAAAGACTGTGACTTCATAATATAAAGTATCTGCTAGACGGGATGCCATATTTTTGTCTGTGCTGCACGAGTGAAGCTCATGCTGACTCTGTACAGCTTTGTTTCAGATGGACCACACTACAGCTCTGCTGAAATAAATTTTAGGGCCCTTATATTAGGCATCATCACCTTATGAAACATAACTTTTTCTTTAATCTTCCTTAGAATAAGAATCCCCTTTTTTTGTGGTTTCAATATTGTGTAAAGTCTGTACATGGATCCAGGCTTCAGTGCTTCTGCAAAATGACTTAAAGGGCAGCTTAAAGAAGAAAATACTTAATTTCTGCTATAGCAAAGATCCCATATTCAGCATCTGTCTATAAACTTATTCTTTTCTAGGGAAGAACTTTGACGTCATTCACTATTATTGTTAAAAATTATAATTCAAACTACAGAGATGTAGTCAAGAAATGAAATAGAACCAACTAAAATGTGGACTACCCCTAACTTAGCTATTAAGGATAGCTTTGTAAACATGAACTTAAATGTCTAAGCTATCTTCTATTTAGACATCAGGAAGTCTTCCAAACTTATCGTACAAGAAAAAGCAAAACCTCTTCTGCCCATAAATCTACCCCTTGTTATAATAAAGTTTTTCTTCTCAATACTTTACAAATGAGCCTTTTTGACTGTTTTTACAGAAATTTTAACAGCTACTCAGCTCACTGCTCATAAGTTTTCTAGTGCAGACTATAAACCAGGGAATTACACCAACAGCATTTTTTTTACAGGTCAGGAACAGTGAAGAGACATCAGGGCTGAGTTTGGATGTATGATAGAGGCAGTTCAGCACCACTCAGGGGAGGTGATGCACGGTGCTGAATAACTGCTAGCACTTATACATACCTGTTCTTATAGAGTATGACATTCAGATATTCTTGAGTACTGTAATACACTTAAATTTAATTGGCAGTAAATTTTACAGATACATCTAGACCTTAAAGAGGTCTAGAGACCTCTTCCCAAGAGGAGGCACCTTTCAAGTGTTGTATGTTCTAACTTACTAGTCTCACAATACATCATGGAGTCTCACAATATACTTTAAGCAATAAATATGTGGCATTATTCAAGGAACTACTAAAGAATGAACTTTTAACTTTAAGCAAATACGTCAGTATGTAAATTTTTATTTGTCAGTAGGGGGCTTTGTGTCCACAAAGCCAGCTGATCTGAAAAAAATGTGAGTATCTGTAGTACCTTTCTAGCTGATTACCTTTCCCCAGATATTCCAATTATATTTTTGTGCTTTTATGCCTTATCTTTGTTTGTGAAGCTAAAGATGCAAGATATTGATGCTCAGCTTTAATTTTCTTTATTCAGTGACTTAACCTTCCATACTTTCTGATATGCCACATGCAGCTTAGTGAGAGAATGTTTAGCCATTTCTCCCCCTCGTGTAATTTGACAACCTAATAATTAACTAATTTGAGTTTCTCTGATTAAAGGAGCACCACAGGGCTTAGGGTATGTGAAAGCATCATGACAGAAAGCATGTCACACAATCATGGTCTAATTCTTCAGTGTTGACTAAGTAAAATATTTACCAGTATGTTTTTAACTAGTTACCAAAACTTATTCAGTTCATGGAAATATCTTTAAAGGAGATTCAGATATGAAACCAATTCAAGATCACTTTGGGGTTCAAAATCCAAGTTAATTTTAGTGTTTAAAATACTTCCATTTGATGGTTGAAAGTCAGGTTCCCTGAAGAGTGTTAAGAGTTATACAACTACATGTTATATATGAAAAGGGATTAATCTGAAATGTAGCTATACCTACCTATAAATCCATAGATGTATGGAAATATTTAGTTAAATGAATTCTGTGAAAGGCCTCGAATGATCTTTCTCATAGAAAATAAAACAGAGAGAGTGTTAAGTAAAAAGGAAAGTCCTTGAACATCTTCTGAAGACCTCTCTTCAGATCCTCATGCAATGGGCTGTTGATATTGTGTAATGGTAGGAAAAGAAAAATTGGAGTTTACAGAAATGAAGGATCTGGTCTATTTGCTTCTGACAGAAAAGAGTAATACGTCAGCAGTAATTAGGGATTCACTTGTCTTAATCTCTCCACTGTAAGTAGTCTCTCCCCCACATTCTAACTTCTGTAACAGGAGAGGGACAGGATGGGTAAGAAGGCAAGAGTGGAAAAGCTTTATTAAATTGTAAGATGAGTGCTGGATATGGGGTAGCATTTCTATTATCCCAAATCTCTGTCACTCAGAAGACTGCTGTGGCTTTCAGGTAATCCTATATGGTATTTGAAGACAGGAAGAAAACATTGCAAAGATCAAATCTCCACAAGGGTGTGTTGGATTTTGCAAATCAGCGCATTGCATTTCTGCACAGGTACAAATTCTATAGAACTTTACTGTCAAGGCAAAAGAAGCATTTTGTATGTGACACTCTCCTTGATTACACACTACAAACTATAGACTTTTGTCTTGGCTGGCTGTCTTGCGGTTGCTTTTTATATTAACAGAATAGATTTTTACTAGTTAAATATTTTATAAGGATGGAAATATTTACAGGAATTCATGTCTTGAATATTCAGTTACATCAGTTGGTGTTTTGCTCATATTAGTTGTCTTCCTTTGTAAAAAATCAAACAATAAAAAGCTTTTTCTTTTTTTTTTTTGAGACAGGAAGAGCAGTAGCGGGCTATCATATGGCAGAACTACATAGCTTTCCTAGTCTGTTAAATATTTACAAAGTAATGTCCTGTGTGATTTATTCAAGAAAGACATGCATTGAGAGCTGCTTGATTTTTGCCATTAAAAAATAGGATAGAATGTAATTCAAAAGGACTAATTTAGATGATTGTTGAATACCTTTCTTTTGGAAAAGAAAATAAACAGTGGCTCTAGAAAATAATATTATTTCCCTTTCAACAGTATCGAGAAAAAAAGAAAAGAACAGTGACCAAGGAGTCTCCAAAGATAAGAGGTCCTTTCTGATAAACTGTTCTGCCTATATGTTTCAGAGAGCAGAGTTTCAATAACCTCTGCCAACACTTTTGTTGAAAGTTCTAGGAGATATCTGTGTTCTATGATATATGGTATAAAACAGGCAAACAGTGTTTTCAAGTTGGAAACACAAGTCTGGATAATATTCTTTATCTGTATATTTCTAAATGTATATGGAGAAGAATTACTTCAAAAAGTTTATGGTAAGATTGAGTAGTTAATGTTGGTAGACTTTATTGATATCTACTTGTTTGAGCTGAAAGACAGGTTCATTATCTCTAAGGTAAGTATGAGAGCAGAATGATTTTTATTTTAGTTTCATTTTCACACATGGCTTTCAACATAATCTTATTAGGTATAATTATTTAAATCTGGTCATAACATGATGCAATATGCTAACATTTTAATTTGCTCTCACTCTTCTGAAAAATAATATAATAGTAGAAACTTTTCCTTCTTTGCTCCATTTATACTTTCTGAGAAACTTACCATTGCAGAAAGTTTGTTTCAGGAGAAAAACAACACTCACTCTAAATGAAATATGAAAAGATTGTATCATTTGCACACAATTAGGTGCTTTAACTTAGGTTAAAAAGATCACTGAACATCAATTGCTAATATTTGTAAAATCAGAACTTGGTCAGAACAAACAGTTCAAGCACTGATTTAGAGTGGCTTCCATAGTTTATATAAGTTTAAATGGAGCACATTCTACTGTCTGAGATGAATGCATAAGAACGATTAAGAAGTGCAAATGCTACTAACCTTGGTGTACTTAATTTTCAGATCTTTGATTGGTTCTGGCAGCGCTGGCATAACTGAAGCAGAATTGCTGTCTGAACCTTGCTTCTTCATGTTTTCAGTTGAGAAGTTTGAGGATATTCCTGAAACACAGGTGAAATGAGGTATAAAGGAAGTGCAGTGATTTTTGTCCTGACTGAGCCCCTAGCTTTATTTGTGCTTTTTTATCTGAACCAGCTATGGTATATTTGCATACAGGAATACGATTGGATGAAAGAATTCTTTGCAAAGAGAAAATGACACTGCTTATTTTTATGACCAAAAGCAACAGCCTTTGCACTGAGCTGAGACTTTGATGAATTAAATACTGCTGAAACAATCTGCTTAGACAGACACTACGAATTCCTTATGGGGGAACAGAGTTTTAGGAGTCCTCATCTTACCTGTAAAATTGCCTTCTCTCAGCAGGCAGGTCACCAGATTTGAAGTAAAGTTCTTCACGTACTTGAAGGCAGTTCTGAAGGCAAAGACAGACTTGTTAGCTCCGGAAACTGGGCCCTTCTCACTGAAGAGCTGATGAGAATAATTAGCAGAGCTAGAAAGCATTCATTAAAAAACAAGCCACCTTGAGTGACATTTTTATATGTTCAGAGTACATTAAAAGTACAGTAATTACTGTCTGTTGTGTAGATCATAGAGATAAGGGAAGACTGTGGTGATACAAAATCCTTCACATATTTTTCAAGAAATGTGAAGGTAAGAAAAAAAAGATCAATCCAGAAAATTTTTTCTGTGGGCAGAACTGAGTAAAAGTTTGTTGCTTTTTTTTTCCAGATAGCACCACAAATTTAAGGACAAAATTTTTACCACAGTGCCTTTTGGAATAACTGAATTCAAAACAAATTATTCAATAGACAAGACTTTTCTACACAGGGTGAAACCCAATGGTACATAAATGTCCTGTTCTGATTACTTAATGAGATAGGTATCTATCTCTTTTACAGGCAAATCATTTTATAAGGCTCAAGAAACTCCTTTCTTCATTAAGTCCTACCTTTCTTGCTTAGTGGTCTCTCAGACCTTGTTTTTCTATGCTAGCCTTCTGGTATATGTACTGTGGATCAATGCCATAGAAATAGAGAGAAATTATCTTATTGTCTTCACTGAGACTACACAGATGCTTGTAAAACTCACTGCACACATTTAACTCTTATCAAGCATCGTCTACACCATCTGTCAATAGAGGGCCTTTGACAGCTGAGATAGGATATATTACAAGATTAATCTTTCCATACATTAATTGTATTTCACACTTTCTGAATGAAAGAGCATGCCATAATTATTATGGATGATTTTTTGGGTTTGGACATAAGGTTTGAGCAAGAATTTCTGAAGTTTAGAAAAGTTCAAGTTATTTCTGGATGAGAAAGAAGTCTACTCTCACATTAGTCTTCTCTCAGTGAGATGTAAAGAGCTGTGTGGACTTATTTAAGTTTCAGCCATTCCCCCTATCATGTGAATGAAGTAGACCCATTCCCATTGCTGTAACACCCTGGTATCCAAGGTTACCTGCTTATTACTTACTTTTGCATGCATCCTTCAGCTCTTCTGCCTTAGCTGTCTGGCTTAAGACATCCAAGCAAAAAAAAAAAAACTTTAAAGTTTTGTGAACAGTACCTTCAGGTCTGAAGTGTTTTCCTGCCTTAGATAATGTCTTTGAATTTCATGCAAACCCCAGAATATCTAAATAGGATTTATTTATTTTTATTTGGAATATAACTTTTCAGTTCTATCCTCAAGTAGAAATTTTTTTTTATCTTTTAATTTTCCTTGTAATTTTTGGATTTAGACACTAATGTCTACTCTAAAAACCTTCCCGGCACTCTTGTCTCCATTAGCCACAAAGAGTTTATCTCTATTTAATTCACATGCCAATTGCTCAGATTTGCCTAAGTGGAGCTGCAAAATAGAGGTCAGTGGATTTATCTTGTTTCAAGAAAAGTAAAAAATCTTTCTCCCAAATGATAGTGTTCTAAATGCATTCTCATATTTATGCACCACAGCATTCCTGATTTTTTTTTTTAAAATATTCAATCTAGAAGTGAATTATGATAACTGCTTTGGAAAATGATAGCATTTATCATCTTTCCATGTCTGTAAGGACTGCCTGAACTCTCCTTAAAGATGGGTAAAAAGTTTCAACTTCTCCCAATATGCTGGTAATCACTGCTTTATTTTCCACACCATTTATTAATTTAACACATAATTTGCCTCTTTTTTTTTTTTCTCATGAATCACCTTCACTACTATTCTTGTTGTGTGTCCTCTCTTTTCTCTCTAGACTTTGTATATTGTTGAAAAACCTTGTCTCTTCAAAAGTTTACTTGCTATCTTGAGCAATCCAGTTGCCCTTTCCTTGGACTTTATCCGTTGAGACTTGCTCCAGGCATTATCAGGAATGTCAATACACCCTTTACCTTCTCTGATTGATTTTCCTCCCTTTCTCTAGGAAACTATTGCTTAGACAACCTGTTCACATTCATCCTAATCCTATCTCCAATAATTTTCCTATTTATTTTCAGCCTAGAAATGCTTTTAACCTAGTGCAGAAATTATTTAATTTTCCTTATATACCACGTTCTTGTTTATTAAAGCTTCCTGCTGTTTTTATTATGTGACTTTTTTCCTCCATCCTAAATCATTATCATTTCACATTTCACCTTAATAATGACGTGCAGTTCAAGAACTAGTAAGTAACTTCTATAAAGTTAATATAATTCAAAGCACTGAAGTTAAGTAATCTTCCATGGTGACTAACGCACTATTGTCCAAAGTTCTCTGGAACAGGAGTTGCACAGAATATGCTGTTACACTCCACTGTTTTGTAGCTGTATTGCATCATCTGTGCTGAATTTGGAATGAATCTTTAATACTTAAGTACATGCTTACACTTTATAAAAGCTTATCATTAAAAAAATCCTTTGAAAAATCTCTAATTAGACAATATCACTGATACTGAAAATCCTCATTATGTCAACAACTTTTTCCAAATTCAGATTATAGATGTAGTTAAGATAGGGAGTTATTCAGTAATACAAGTAGATCACTGGGCATTAAGTCAGGAGTGGACGATCTAAGTGTCAAAAGACCAAAATATGTTTTAAAAGTGGAAATCACCAAGATTTGTGAAATCCATGAACTCTCACTCTGAAATGCTTTATTGGTTTTGTTACTCTTCCTTATTGCATCCATTAATGGCAGTAGAACAGAAACAGTAGCCACTGTTCAGTGTGTTGTGGAAAGGCAGACACATCAGAAACTAGGCAGAACTAGAGTTTTTGCCACTTTTGTCCTTATAAATTTAGAGTCCAGAGATGTTGGGATGTGCAAGTTCTGATAATTCTAATTGTGAATTACTGAAATCAAAATGACAAGATCTTCAAGGCTACTGAACAAATTCCTTTAGCTTCTGCAGAGCACTGATTATCTTGCATTTCTGAAAATCCAAGTGTTCCTTTTATATAATTACAGGTATCTCTTACCACAATCAGCAGTTCTTCAGCTATTATACAATTTCAGTGACCTATAAAATCCTGCAGTGAGGCAGCTGACAGATGCATAACTGTTTATTTGAGTTTGAAATTTAAACTCAATTACTGAAAATTCTTTCCCTTTTTGCTACATGGATGATAACAGTCTATGAAGAAATGTGTTAGAATATTCTTCATTCTCTTCCTTCTCTCCACTCCTGACCAGTGAGAGGACTCGATGACAAGGCATGAAGCTGTCATGCGAGATTTATGTTAGATATCAGCAAAAGGCTTTTCCCCACAGAGGGTGACTAAGCATTGGAACAGAGAAGTAGTCACAGCACCAAGCCTGTGAGTTCAAGAAGCATTTGGACAATGCTCTCAGGCACATGGTGTAATTCTTGGGGTGTCCTGTGCGGGGCCAGGAGTTGTATTCAATGATCCTGATAGGTCCCTTCCAACTCAGCATATTCTATGATTCTGTGATTGTATAATACCTCCACAAACAAGTCGTAATACTAACTACTGTTTGGCAATTCGTGCAAACACCTTTGTTCCAGTAATGGCCAGATTTAACTTCCATTTGTTCACTGCAATGAGGGCAGAGACAGCACAAGAAGTAGAAAAACTAGTGTTACTGATTTTGTAAGCTTGGTATCAAAGACATGATAGCATGAATATGGTAACATGAATAACTTCTTGCTATCAGTGCTTGGGCTGACAGTGGATGCTGTCATGAGGCCTGTTCTCTGCTGAATCCATAATAATATTGTTGTCCAAGATACGCTTGCTGCAGGGAGGCACAGATAAGTGTTTCCTCTCTTCTACACTGAAACGTGTGTGACCATAGCTGGATGTCTTTTTCATTCATGCAGAACCCAATCTGTTAGTGGAGCAAGATTTTTTCTTCTTATTCCATACGCATACAAAAAACTGTGTATTCACCTGTATGATAGTTTACTGAAGAAAATCAGTCAAAAACCTCCTTTAGAAAATATTTCCACTCTTTGATTTTGTTTGGGTGAAACAACATGATATATTACAATTAGCTCAGTAGAATGGGACACACTTCAACAAATTTACATCCCAGTGATACAGCTATCTATCTCTGAGCTATGTATGTAGCAACTCTCTGTAACCAATGTAAGAAGTACAAATATTTTGAAGCACAAATCTGTTCATTCCAAAGCAAGTATATAAAGTAGCTCAGTATCCTAGTAATCTGAACAGTATGCAATGTGTGAATAATTATTGTTTGTGGCTATAAAAGAAGACAATTTATCCGCCTTTGATACAAATACGTTACTAGAGATAGGTACTGATGTGTGATATGGCTTTCACTTTATTTTTTTCACCCACCACCAGGAGACATCTTCCTAGCTATTATTTATGAACTATACAATATTGTCTCTGGAGTGTAAATAAATTATTAGGACCAATGTTGTTTAACATCTTTTTCAGTGAAATGTACAGTGGGATTGAGTGCTTAGTGTCTGATGATGACACTAAGCTGTGTGGTACAGTCAACACTTTGGAGGGCAGTGATGCCATCCAGAGGGACATGAAAAGGCTTGAGATGTGGGCCTGTGTGAACATCATGAAGTTCAGAGGGTAAAGTGCAAGATCCTGCACCTAGATTGGAGTAACCCAAAGCACGAGTACAGGT